CCACTTCACAAAAGCACAGGTTTCCGAAATAATCGTTGTTACGTGCTTTAAAACACTTCACAGAATCGGCCTCTACGAGTCCTTCAGGTAGGGTATTCCATAAGTTTACGATTCTTCGTTCTATACAATCTGATGTGATACCTTATTCATACAGGGGACCCTGAGTTTGTAACTTTGTGAGCGGGTGTTAGAGGGTTCTTGCGGTTGAAATATTGGCCACAGCATGAGGAAGTGTTTCGAATATATTGCCGTATGAGTCGTAATAAGGCCAATACTTACTCGGCGGTAGGATAGTGTGTAGAGTCCGAGCCTTACAAAACGTTTTTCATACGGACGCTTTCGTAGACTGGGTATCAGTTTAGTTGCGATGTGCTGTATTTTCTCCAGCTTTTTTATTTCCCACTGGGTTATTAGATGGTAAGTTGGGGCGCCATACTCAAAGATTGGTCTAATGAGCGAGGTGACTAGGCGAAGGACGGTTTCTATCGACCATATGGAGAAAGTGCGTCGTATTGCCCAGATCATACGAAGTCCTGCACAGTACAATTTCTCTGTAGTTCCAAGTGATATCATATCATGTCGCGTGAGTACTCCTAAGTCTCTGACGGATGTGTTAGGGTGAACCAACTGGCCATCCAAGGTGTATGATTGAGTGGTTGGACGTCTAGTGATACTGATGAACTCCGAAATGCTTGCGTTAAGAGGCAGTTGCATTTCAATGGACCATGTTTAGATTCGAGCTGTCATGCTGGAGGCGAGCGCAGTCGTCCTGGTTCTCAGTGACCCGCCAGGTTTTCAAATCATCTGCGTACAGTGCACATGGTGACTGGAGCTGCTACGGAAGATCGTTGATATGAATAAGAAATAATACTGGCCCGGGTGCAGTTTCCTGAGACACGAAACTGGTCGATGGGAATCCGTCTGTCAGGTAGTCATTGACTTGCACTCTAAACTTTCGTCCCACAACAAACTCGTGTACCCACAGAAGTAGCGTGCCACCGATTCCGTTGGTCCTCAGTTTAAGAGGGAGCACCCCGTGGTTCACTCTGTTATACGCCTTACCAAAGTCGATGTACACCACGTCAACATCCTTCCGTTCGTTGAGAGCTCGTACCCACTGGTGGTTTGTGTACATCAACTTGGTGATGCAGGATCCCGCTTTCGTGAAACGTGTTGCGCTGGCATCAATAGGTCCGTCGATTCAAGAACCTTGGATGAGATCGAAGTCGAGCAGCTCGGTCTATAGTTCTCTACATTACTCGGATCACCACACCTGGAAAGCAGTCTTACTATCGAGTATTTCCAGTCGTTGGGGACGGGTCCTTCAGAGAGTGATTTATTGAATAGTATTGTCACGGCTGGTGGGATGACATTAGATAAGGACTTGAGTACTAGTGGGTGAAGTTCCTCTGGTCCGGGGGGCTATGCACCATCGATATTGACGAGTAGCTGATACACTTCGATTGCATCACATTGTAGGCTGTCGAGCATGGCTGGTGCAACCTGTGCCGGTGTACTGAAAAATACTGAAGAAGCGCGAAGCCAGTGCGCTCGCCTGCTCCGCGCTTGAATGAGCGTCTGTCCGTTCGAGCTCTCTAAGAATGGTAAATCGCTCGCAGGTTTCAGTTGACGTTTCAAGTAGGCAAATATTATTTTGGGTGCATTTGTGGCTCAGGATGCTTTGTCTTCTTCTAACTGCCGGCGTTTTGCAATCTTTTTGCGGCGTTACGTAACTTAGCCTGTTTCTTGTACACCGTGTAATCTTCATCACTACCCGAGCTGATGTACCCATCCCAAAGTTTGCGACGCCGTCGTGCTAACTCTCTATATTTCGTATCAAACCAATGCAGTTTGGCAGGTCCGACTTTTGAATACTTCAGGGGAACGAACCGAGTACACAGCGAGTTAAGCTTCCCCTTCATTAATGACAAACAAGCCACAAGCAACGCCTCGTTTGGTAGTGTCCAATCAGTCTGACTTGCAGCGTGGACGTGCCCGTTGAAGTCCGTCTTCCAATAGTTGAATGTCGGCTTCCTTAACCTTCACTCAATTTGAAGTTTTATGAGACATTTAGTCGCGCCAGTAATGGTTATCTGTTTTACGGGACGGAAGAGAACAGTGTGCACATGTGGGACGTCGCTTTCACCTAGGCAATCTCTCCTTAGTTGTGTGCCGCATCGCTTAATATTTGAGCTGTGGTTGCTGTCGACCTATTTAAATGACTTGCAGGAGGGGAGCTAAGAGTGTCGTCGCCAATGTTTGCTAACGAACTTAAGCTCTGGAGTGTCGTGAATATTCCCGGGGGTTCTGAAGCAATTCATAGCTCTTGAAACGGTCTGCTTATGGTCGATGCCCAGAAATTGGCCCAAGTGTTCAGTTCTCCGAATAGGAGTTGCTATCCTCCCATACGACATGTTGTCGTCGGTAGGAAGAATTTTCCGTATGAGATTGTTTATCCGCCACTTTTTCGTAGTCTTAATGGCCGATATATTTTATGAAGTTATTCTCGGCATTCGTGCGACCATACTTGTAGTACTGTATCCAGGCTCGTCCACCATGTTTTGCCCGAGACAAAATGAACTTGGAGTGGGTGGTACGTGTGGGTACTATGTTGGTGCAGGGTCCACGGAGACGGACGTATCCTGAACGATTGCTTACTTAGGGTATGTGCTCAATGCGTTTTCGAAGGATAAGCGGTGACTTGTTTCTCACTTACTGTGTTTTGACGGCTAAGATCGGCCCGAATTTGTTTTGGCCAGTTAGTTCCGCTAAGTTATCCAATCTCATCGGTCACACATTGAAGCTGCACAAACCATGGTCTGGTCGGATTAGAGCGGAAATTCCTCTGTCGCACCGAGTTATGCAGCGCTGGAATTCGCTACTAAATCATGTGGCTAGGGAAGCTACCGTTAAGGGTTTTACACGTCAGCTCGATGTTTTTGGATGACAACACCAATTCTTTCCGTTTTCCTAACTGACTCATCTTTAGGTACTCATTAGTAGGGGATTTTGATGTAATTAAGGGAGGTTCATCGCAGCCAGTTTCCAAATCAGATAGTTATCATCAAAATCCCCTACTCATGAGTAAATCAAAATATATCCGCCCTGACAGTTTCTAAATGCTGTGTCGTACATAGTTACTGTTAGTGTACGTCATGTCTTTCGGGGTCAACCCTGTTCTCTGCAACGTTCGTAACTTGCATGGCAGTGGAGGATAAGACGTGCTATATCGCAGTTAGCTTGTAAATCACGACGGTCCGAAGCTGTCCCCTGTGGCCCAGTGGTATAAGCTGCTGACTGGCGGTTCAAGCCGCTGGTGGTCATGGGTTCGAATCCTGATGGACCCGATGGATTCGCACTACTGACGATGCCCAACAGGCTGAAACTGCAGTCTAGTGCTTTCCGGGCATGTGGACTACTATCTGATTTGGAAACTGGCTGCGATGAACCTCCCTGAATCATTTTTAGCTTTCATTCTTTTTCGTTACACACATATCTTAGAATTATACTTGTTTAGCTCCTTCCTATCTTTACCTTCTGATTGTACAATTTTCTCTTTCTTACTTCACACAATCGTAGCGTTCCAGTACATGGTGGATTTTCGCCTGGCAATCGTTCTGCCTATAGAAAGCCACAAATGTCCGTCTAACAACACTGCGACGTGACGGATGTGACTCGCCACCAATCAAAGTAACATCCCAAGGCTTCACACTGGCAAGTTGATTTGCGTCACACTTCATTAGAGTATGATTCCGAGACAGCACATGCCACCACCAATTCACTTCATACGCTATACTGTTGATCTATACACTACACACACATTAACACAGACTATTGTCACATCCAACAATTTTGTTTCTCATCAGTACTTTTCTTATGGCTGCAACATGTATATGTTTGTCATCTTCCCATTGCATGCAACGTAACCTGCCTGTTGCCATGGCAATGAGGCTGGACCTTACCGTGGGTCGATGGTTTGTGTGCCCCAGCGATCCGTTGAGCTATGTTGGGTGGCGCTTATTTTTGCACATTCAGAACCACTCATACTCGGCTGGTCAACCGAACAACCTCCTCGCGGTGTCAGGG